TGTAACTTGTTAATAAAGGTCAAACTGATGAAGCTATAAAAACCCGACTCGCCCCACAGACTCAAAACCTGGCAGAGTTTGAAGCGAAGCTTCAGCAGGTGGTGGACAGGTAGTTCAGGTGAGACCGTCCGGAGGTCAGTGACACTGCTGAGCCGTCGACTGTCCTCTGGTCTGTTTGTCATGTAGCGCTCCCCGCTGTTAAAAAGTGGCCTCTCCACCTGTAAAATGTACCGCAGTTATTTTCACGTCTGGTGTTCAGACAAGCATTCTACGTTGAAGCTGAACGCACCTGCGGCGTTAAAGCAGCAGGTGCGTTCAGCATCATCAGCCAGTACAGCGAGGATGCAGGTAACCTTTGGTGACAACAGAACCAGCGCTGCAGCCTCCACGTGGCGTGCAGTTATTGTGACATCAAACACGGGTCAACCGGTCTGATATGATCAGGTGCGGATCTGTCTACCTGCGGCAAGGGGTGTCCTTCAGGAGGGCGAGCTGCGTGGTGAAGGCAACAGTCTGTGAATACCTGAAGTGCAGGGATGCATTGTGGGAAATGCACCGCCAAAGTGGGTTTGAGCAACAGGAGTGTTCTGATGGCGGCTAGATTTTCCAGTTACGGCGGTTCTAGTGTTAAACTCAATGTGTTTCCTGTCTGAGTTCAGATCTGACTGGGTGGAGGAGGAGGAGCTGTGTCCCTGCTGCAGCTCCACCTGCTGAACGGACCAATAATAACTCACTTCCTGTTGTGAGAACACCTGGCGGCGCCTCGGTCTGAAGGTGAAGGTCTCTACGTTTCCTCCTTCTGGGTGTTTGGACGTCACATAAACTTCAGTCCTGACAACCTGTTAACGTCCTCGGCGTGTTTGGACGTTACTCTCCCACCCGGTTGCGTCGCTGGTGGTCCATCCACTCGATGATGAGGCGGTTGGCGATGGCGTGTTTGGGAGGAAGCCAGAGGACGGGGGGCTCACCTCTCCTGGGCGGAGTCTTGACCTGCAGGGCGGTGGAGATCTCCTCCAGACTGAACCAGCGAGCGTCCTCCAGCTCCTATGGTCCACGTTTACCTGGACGACAAACAGCACCCCAGGTCACATGACACAGCGCAGGTAGTTCACCTCAGGGCTCTGCTGGGTCCTTTACATGGTTCCCATTTAGGTTAATGTTCATTTCAAGACTAAAACCACTAAACACTTGATCGAGAAGTGTCAGGGCTCACCTGAGTGTGGGCGGGGCTAACAGAGGCATGGCAGCCCAGCATGAAGGAGCTGTGAGGAAAAGGCCAGTGCTGCGAGGAGCTGTAGGAGACGCTGTGGACCTCCAGACCCACCTCCTCCGCCACCTCCCGGCTCAGAGTCTCCTCCAGAGTCTCACCTGCAGCAACCACAGAGAGACCGTAAACAGGTTGGTTCAGTAGAAACACTGTAGACAGGAAACCAGGTGAACAGACAGGTGGGACTGACCTATGTCACAGAAACCGGCCAGAGCGCTGTACATCCCTCGAGGGAAGGACGACTGTCGCCCTAACAAACACCGTTTCCCATCAGAGACCAGGACGATGACCACGGGAGACATCTGGTGAAAGACCAGGAGAAACCAGTCAGCTAAGGACAGAAACTCCCAAGACCTAAAGTCCATCATCTAAAAGGCCCAGCAGAGGATATAGTGCCTGTTCCGGCTCTGGTTTGGATCGGCCACCCAACAGGAATACATTTCTTCTAAACATATTGTCTTTTTCTAGTATCAAGGTCAAGGTGTCTTTATTAGTACCCGAGGGTAAAATTTTTGTGCAGACAGGAGACTTTCGGCAATCCATACATAAAAACATCAAAACAAACAATAAGCATAGAACATTATAAAATATCAAAGCCTAAAACTTCTAAAAGGAACATGGCAGTGTGCCTCTACACCACCACCTCCTAACCCCCTAACCCCCACCCTCCTTACCCGCCCGCCCCCCCCTGGCTAAAACACATAAGGTGCTATACATAACAAAGAGTGTCATCTACTGCTAATTTTATTCATTAATTCTATGGCAGCGGGAACAAAAGTATTCCTGTATCGTTTGGTTCTACACCTAGTGGCAGCAAACCGACATCCAGAGGGGAGCTGAAACTCAGCATGTAAAGGGTGGGAACAGTCTCCAATAATGAAACTCGCCTTATGCTGTAACTGACTGGAATAAAGACCTACAAGGTTGAGTTGAGATTCACCTATGATCTTACTAGCCCACCTAACAATTTGGTTCAAAGAATTTTTGTTCTTCAAAGACAAATTTCCAAACCAAGATACAAGGGAGAAACGACAAGACCGATTCAACAAAAGCATGGTAGAAAAGGATCATCATAGATTTATCAATATGAAATCTGGACAACTTTCTGAGGCAAAACAGACGCTGGTGACCCTTTTTACATACAGACTCACAATTTTTTTCGAAAGTCAATTTAGAGTCTATGACAGTCCCAAGATATTTGCAGCTTTCTACACAATCCACCGCCTGGTCTTGATGACCGTAGAGTAATAATTAGAAGCACTGTTTCTAAAATCTATGATCATGTCTTTGTTTTTCTATATTAACTCCAAATAGGATTTGTAACACCAGGAGACAAACTCTTCAATAATAGGACCGTGACCAGATTCACCATCATTTAACAGACTCACAATAACTGTGTCATCAGCATATTTCAGTATCGTTCTGTTTGTATACATGCTTTGGCACATGTTAGTGTACAAAATATAAAATAAGGGTGAAAGAACACAGCCCTGTGGTGAGCCAGTTGATGTACACAGTAAATTTGACAAAATGCCATTTACTCTCACCCTCTGTGTTCTGTTTATCAAAAAATCCAATATCCAACCCACCAAATTCTTGCTGAGGCTAAAATGCTCTATTAGTCTTTTGGCTAAAATGTGAGGTTGGATAGTGTTAAAAGCTGAGGAAAAATCAACAAACAACAGTCTGGCATGCGTCTTTCTCCCTTCTAAGTGGAGTAGAGTAATTGTAGCATCCTCAACTCCTCTATGTGCCCTATAAGCAAACTGCATAGGATCTAGGGCTTGCTCAGTTTGCCTCACAATCTCCATCTTCACAAGCTTTTCAAAGGATTTCATTACAAGCGAAGTGAGGGCAACTGGCCTGAGGTCATTTAAAACCTTGGGACTATTGCTTTTAGGAACCGGGATAATAATAGCCTGCTTCCACAGTTTAGGTACATGTTGTAGATATAAAGACATATTAAAAATATCATGGAAGATAGAACTTAGTTGTCCTGCACAGTGTTTCAGTAGTTTGACGCAAATATTGTCTGGACCAGGACTCCTATTTAACTTCTGTAAAAAAAATGATTTTTCAACTGCTCCCTGGTCCAGGATGAGGTGATGATTGTCTTTAAATTTACATCTCAATTCATCAACTTCATCTTTAAAATCAAACTGATCAAATCTCAAATAAAAATTATTAAGAGCATTGGCAAGCTCGCTATTTGAACTGAAACCATCTATGACAATATTAGCTCGATTCACACTTTGCTGTATACCGACAATAGTTTTCAACCCGGACCATGCTGAAGCAATATTCTTCTCAGCCAGTTTATTCTCTATTTTACATTTATACCTTTGTTTAGCCTTTAGAATTTCCACTTTAACCTCCTTTTTTGCTACTTTTCTTTCTAATGTCCCTCCTTGATTGTAAGACAGCATCTTCTTCTGTAAGCTAGACTTAACTGCTTTAGACATCCATGGTTTAGTATTTGGGTAAACCTTAATCTTTTTGGTGGTAATAATCATATTCTCACAAAAAGTAACATAAGAGCAGACCACATCAGTGAGTTCATCAATGTCCTTACAAGAGTCTTTAAACATCTCCCAATCTGAATTTTTTCTCTTTTAAGCACAGATTTATATGTAGGAAGCAGTAGTACACAATTGTGGTCAGCAGAACCTAGAGCAGGCAAGGGTACTGATTTATATGCTCCCTTAACAGTCCCATAACAAAGGTCCAATGGCTTGTTCTGCCTGGTTGAACAAGTAACATACTGAAAAAAATTTGTTAAAGACTTAAAAACCACATGATTAAAATCTCCAAGAATAAAATTGGCTGCTTCAGGTGAGATGTTCTGAAGTTTTTGCACCATATCACATAAAATACTAGATGCCGAACCATGATTTGCTTTAGGATGAATGTACACAGTTGTATCTTCAACCAAGTCCAGTTGCCCTTGACCTCAACCTTCTTTGGATAACTATGACCTGGATGACTGAGAATATTCACATACATCAAACAGGAATACACTACAATCGACAGTCTGGACTCAACCTGCCCTCCAGTCAGGACTCAACCTGCCCTCCAGTCTGGACTCAACCTGCCCTCCAGTCTGGACTCAACCTGCCCTCCAGTCAGGACTCAACCTGCCCTCCAGTCAGGACTCAACCTGCCCTCCAGTCTGGACTCAACCTGCCCTCCAGTCTGGACTCAACCTGCCCTCCAGTCAGGACTCAACCTGCCCTCCAGTCAGGACTCAACCTGCCCTCCAGTCTGGACTCAACCTGCCCTCCAGTCTGGACTCAACCTGCCCTCCAGTCTGGACTCAACCTGCCCTCCAGTCTGGACTCAACCTGCCCTCCAGTCAGGACTCAACCTGCCCTCCAGTCTGGACTTGGATGTTCAGAGTCAGGAAACATAACTGCAGACCCGTCACAACTGGACACAACCTGTTCCAGCTCCTCCCGTCTGGGAGGCGCTGCACGTGTTCACAGAGCTTCAACGATAAATTCTGATTGGAGGTGGTTTAGATCTGGATTAGACCTGGTTCTGGTTACCTTGGGGTAGTAGACAATGCCGGAGCTGCTGCAGACCCTCTGACTTCCTGCCTGGTTGCGGTGGGTCGGCCGGCCCGTGGCGCTGCAGAAGCCGTTGGTCTGATGCCAGCGCAGCAGAGCCTGACCCTGCAGTACACAAAAGGGGATGATGATCTAAAGAGGCCGCTTCATCATCATCATCATCATCATTAGGGCTGACCCATAATGGAAAAATATCTAGGTGCGATCACCTTGGCCACTAGAGGCGCCTCTGCTCCCGTCAAGAGAAAGAAAGCTTTCCTCAGATCAATAAAGTTTCCTTCACAAGCTTCCTCTACTGCTGCCTGATTCAGCTCTCCTACAGAACCAAACCAGAACCAGAACACCAGAACCGGTCAGTCTGGACTGATGCATTCAGGGCCTCTCTACACAGTACAGAGTTCATAGTCTTTTCAATGTAACACAGAGTATTATGTGTTTAATGTGTTCTTACCGACATCCAGACAGAACTGAGCCTGGTTCTGGTCAGAGCAGCCTATCAGAGCAGACTCCTTCAGCAGGATTCTGTCTGCACCGAGTCTCTCCAGGATCGCCTGCACGTCTGGAACACACAAAGCACAGAACTCACATGTGCACCAGGAAGGTTTCAATGAGGAGCACATTTGTGATTATCCTCCTGGGGTTCTCTGACCTGTACCTGTGGTTCTGTACCTGTGGTTCTGAGGTTCTGTACCTGGGGTTCTGTACCTGGGGATTTCTGACTTGTACCTAGCATTCTGTACCTGGGCTTCTGAAGTTCTGTACATTGGGTTCTCTGACCTATATCTGTGGTTCGGTACCTGCGGTTCTGAGGTCCTGTACCTTGGGCTCTCTGACCTGTACCTCTGTTTCTGTACCAGTGGTTCTGAGGTTCTGTACCTGGGGCTCTCTGACCTGTACCTCTGTTTCTGTACCTGCGGTTCTGAGGTCCTGTACCTGGGGCTCTCTGACCTGTACCTCTGTTTCTGTACCTGCGGTTCTGAGGTCCTGTACCTGGGGCTCTCTGACCTGTACCTCTGTTCTGTACCAGTGGTTCTGAGGTTCTGTACCTGGGGCTCTCTGACCTGTACCTCTGTTTCTGTACCTGCGGTTCTGAGGTCCTGTACCTGGGGCTCTCTGACCTGTACCTCTGTTTCTGTACCTGCGGTTCTGAGGTCCTGTACCTGGGGCTCTCTGACCTGTACCTCTGTTTCTGTACCAGTGGTTCTGAGGTTCTGTACCTGGGGCTCTCTGACCTGTACCTCTGTTTCTGTACCAGTGGTTCTGAGGTTCTGTACCTGGGGCTCTCTGACCTGTACCTCTGTTTCTGTACCTGCGGTTCTGAGGTCCTGTACCTGGGGCTCTCTGACCTGTACCTCTGTTTCTGTACCTGCGGTTCTGAGGTCCTGTACCTGGGGCTCTCTGACCTGTACCTCTGTTTCTGTACCAGTGGTTCTGAGGTTCTGTACCTGGGGCTCTCTGACCTGTACCTCTGTTTCTGTACCAGTGGTTCTGAGGTTCTGTACCTGGGGCTCTCTGACCTGTACCTCTGTTTCTGTACCAGTGGTTCTGAGGTTCTGTACCTGGGGCTCTCTGACCTGTACCTCTGTTTCTGTACCTGCGGTTCTGAGGTCCTGTACCTGGGGCTCTCTGACCTGTACCTCTGTTTCTGTACCTGCGGTTCTGAGGTCCTGTACCTGGGGCTCTCTGACCTGTACCTCTGTTTCTGTACCAGTGGTTCCGAGGTTCTGTACCTGGGGCTCTCTGACCTGTACCTCTGTTTCTGTACCAGTGGTTCTGAGGTTCTGTACCTGGGGCTCTCTGACCTGTACCTCTGTTTCTGTACCAGTGGTTCTGAGGTTCTGTACCTTGGGCTCTCTGACCTGTACCTCTGTTTCTGTACCAGTGGTTCTGAGGTTCTGTACCTGGGCTCTCTGACCTGTACCTCTGTTTCTGTACCAGTGGTTCTGAGGTTCTGTACCTGGGGCTCTCTGACCTGTACCTCTGTTTCTGTACCAGTGGTTCTGAGCTTCTGTACCTGTGAAGTTCAGTGCTGCTGGTCTGAAGGTTCCCTGCTCGGTGCGTTGCAGCAGAGGCGACAGGCGGTGGAACAGGAAAATGCGACTGCTCTGCAGCGCTGCAGCACACGCCTCATCATCCTGCTTCAGCCTGTTCACGTACCTGAAAGGACGGGTCAATCAGTCAATCAATCAATCGGTGTATCAATCCATCGGGTCTCTGAGTTACTGAACCTGATCTTGGAGACGAAGCCTGAGCAGCAGCGGGTCGGCGGAGATGTTAAGGCAGAGAGGAGGATCTTCAGAGATCTCAACATGGCTCTCTGAATCAACGGTCCGAACCGGTCTGCACTGGACTGGACTAAAAGTAAACAGAAACGTTCACTTCATATCTTTGGATTTTATGTTAGCACATCACAGTCAGAACATTTTAAAAGGTCAAATTCTGAGAAATGAAGACAACCATTAGCTTAGCTAAAGGCTGGAAGTTATTATTATTGTCTCCACACTGCCCTGGGCTGCGTTTCCCAAAAGCATGGTTGCTAACTACGGTAGCAACTTCCTTGGTTGGAACTATGCAGCTGAGACGAAACTGTTTCCCAAAACCCTCGTTCGAACTATGAAGGTATCTAAGTTGGTAACTCACATGGTGCGAACCATTGTTAAGCCACACAGGTGTTCCCCAAAACCGACGAACGTTCGCACCAACTGTTGTTAAGTTGCATAGTTCGAACTACAGCTGCTGACCTGTGGTTAGAAGCTTAGTTCACACGATAGCAGAAGATGCAGCGTTAGGAGGTGGATGTAATGTGTTTTCAGCAGGGAATGTTAGAAAATCCTGCTGTACAAACATATTTAAGGTGAAGATATTTTTAAATGTAGTTGTAAAAGTACTTTAAATGTATTTCTCGGGTAATTCATTCATTCATTCAAACCTTTATTTAACCAGGATAAAAAACTCCTTGAGATTAAAAATCTCTTTTACAAGAGTGTCCTGGCAAGTGGCAGCAGCGTGGTTACAAACAGATACAGAGACACTTACAGGTAAATATAGACACACTTTCACTCATCATATTCAAACAAGAATGACATCATAAAACAACAAAAAACTGGGTCCTAAATCAATTTAAAAACAGTGGCAGACAGACTGCCTTTCTGCAAGGTCCTTTAAAAAGCCTTTAAAAGAATAAAGTGAGACCAACTCCTTCAACTGTAGTTCATTCTGAAGCTGATTCCATGCAGATGGTGCTGCAAAATTAAAATCCTTTTTGCCAAAGTCGGTGCAGGCTTTAGGGACAGTCAATAAAAACAGATCCTGTGAGCGCAGGTGATATGTCCCTGCAGGCCTCAGGAGGATGTAAGTGTTCAGATAAGGAGGAAGAAGTCCTAATACTGCCTTATAAATAAAAAGATGCCAATGCATCCAACGCATTGTGGAGTGGAGAGGGAGAACCACCCGACCCGAGAATACAGCAAACAGTGATGAGTGAGAGATTTTAAGTTTGTGATGAATCTCAAGGCTCCATGAAACACGGTGTCCAAAGCATGAAGACACTGGGAGGTTGAATGCATGTAAAAAATATATCACCTTATATATCATATATCATCTGGACCTGATGGTTTTTGTGGATCTAGAACTTTCCAGGCCTTCCTTACTTCTGGTACAGTTACAGTCTTGAAATGAAATGGTTGAGCTGACAGTGACTGATAAACAGGACATACAGTGGGAGAGTTGGAAATTGGATTATGTAATGTTTCATAAAGGGAGCTAGCAGCAATGAAGTGCTTATTAAAACTATTGAGAATTTCATTTTTGTCAATGATTTTTTTGTCATCAGCAACAATACAAGACGTAACTTCTGTATCTGTTTTTGCTTCAGTTAATAATTTGATTGTTTTCCAGATCTTGAGAGGGTTATTTAAATTTTTGGATGTTTCAGAAAGGAAATAGGCAGATTTGGCATTACGGATTTTTACAGTGCATAAATTACGTAAACGCCGAAATTTCAACCATTTTTGTGTTCCTTACAGATGCTATAAGACAATGATCACTTCTATCATTTGCAAAAACAGAGGCACAGGAGTATTTGTGAGGGGCATTTGTAAGAATAAGATCAATTAGGGATGATTTTTCTGGATGTTGTAGGTTTGGTCTGGTGGGGCTATTCACAATCTGAAAGAGATTAAAAGAATCACAAAATGATTTAAAATGATTGAGACATTGGCAAAAGCCAGTTCCAATTAAGATCTCCTAAAAAGACGATTTCATTATAATTTAGACTTGTTAAAAACTCCCTCAGAGAAGAAAGGGTCATGGGTGGGGTTGCATTTATTCTGTAGACCGTCTCCAAACAGCAGGTGTTTTTCTCACAGATGACCCATCTCTTCACAATACCTTCATTTAATATTAGTCACCCAGTACAAAGGTTAAAGGATAAAATGGAGAATGTAAATACAAGACTTTTAATATTACCATAATGTATGCATTTCCAGACCTCTGAGGAAGATGGCTGTTCTCTAGTCTTCATTACAAACATAAATATCAAAAGGGACAGCATAAAATCCATGAAAGTACTGTAATGAATAAATCCCTGAGAGCTTTCGTTGCCTTTATAACAAAGATAAGTCGAGAGCTCAAAAGAGAACATGCGTAAGCTCAGACACTTCTCGCACTGAGCTGTTCTCAAGACCTAGATGCAGCCAACGGATTCATAACAGTGTTAAAGTGTTGACATGAAGCTACTTGCAGATTAAACCTATTTTACTAAATATCTTGTAATCGCTAATAGGTCTTCATTTTTTCTTCTAAGTTACAGACAGTTATGGTAGGTTAAATATTATTTATATTGTTGTTTTCATTAATACTATTGTTGATTTTCTTGTTATTGTCGGTACGACTATGATATAAAAAGCCTAAAAAATAAGTTACTATAATAATGTCAATCACAGCTGACACATTTAGGCAGAATATGACGACGTTTTGTGAGTTTCCTGCTGTGAGAGTCACACAAACACACCTGGAAACATGTTGGTTCAAACCACGGTGGCACCGACAAGGCTTCAGATGTTTGTTAGTTTAGCGATGCATCGTACCAGCATAGTTCATACGGAGGAAACTTTTTGCTGCTCGCACAGTCTAACAGTTCTTTGCATGTCAGACTGACACAGTGATGGAAAAACAACGCCTCTCTCCCTCCTTCTTTCTCCCTTTAGCTTTTTGGCTAACAGCTGACTTGAACAACATAAGGTCCAGATCTGGACATGAACTGTCCCTGACCTGCAGTGCAGTCGTGCAAACACGTCAAGGACACAAAACAAGTGGCGTTCAGGTCACGCAGTAACGCAGCGTGAACTGGTTTAGTAACTGTAATATTGCTGTTTTAGAACTAGTAATCCCTTCCTCTACTAGTTGCTGAGGAAAGTAATAATGTTAAAGTTCCAGCAACACGTTACTGCTCAGGACTGATCCATCATCAGGACCGTGTCCCTCAGCGACTACATGAAGAAATAAATGATGGCGTCTGGGCCGTCCACAGTGTTACTACTCTACAGATACACCTGGGACCCTAAAACGCAGCAACACACCGGAGCAGCTGGTCTTTAACCTTCTTCTTCCCGCCCAGTTCATCAGCTTTAAGGGCTGAGCTACGTTCACAGATCAACATGTGTCCGACTCACAGGACTGTTCGCAGCGATGCTCCAAAGTACCTGTGCGACTACTTAACCAGAATTATGGATCCATGGTGGCACCACAGAGGGAAATCAACTGATCTGGTTCCCTTCAGGTTCAGGAGACACTCTAGTTTTCAGCTGCCATCGTGTGACACAGAAATAAGATGACTGAACGTCTGTGTCTAACTTCTGTGAAGTGTCTGTAGGCTCCATAGGTGTCATTTACACCGGGGACACTGGGGACACGGGTCGCTGGAGACACTGGGGACACTGCGAAACTGGGGACACTGGGAAGACTGGGGACGCTGGGAAGACTGGGACGCTGGGAAGACTGGGAAGACTGGGGACGCTGGGAAGACTGGGGACGCTGGGAAGACTGGGGACGCTGGGGACATCACCACTTTTTTAAAGCATAATTTGTTAAAAAATGTTTTGAAATGCAGCTTGCAGTTAAAGAACAAATGAAAATGCCTTTAAAGGTTTATTTGAAAACAGGCAGTGCAATTAAAATATAGAAGAAACAAATGTGCATCGTCCAAAAAAAGGAAGTTAAGCTGCTGATTATAAAATGAGCCAAAACGTGCAGCAGGAACTTTAACAGCTTCTTGTCACAGTTTCTGTCCGGCCCGGTTTCCCGTCCTCTGCCTGAAGTCTAAATCATGACTCAGCAGAGACGACGTTACAGGAGAAACAGATCTGAGAGCTGCTCTCGTTTACATTCTGATTTATAGATTTTGAAATCTAAAGTGCTGAATTCTGTGTTTCCTTTTACATAAATAAAAACATTTCCACCCTACATTGAATGTGTGGAAGTGTTTAAAGATCTAAATCCCCCCCGCTCATGTCTCGGCACTGAGGAGATCTTTAACACGCTGCTTTAAGGATCTGTTCGTCTCGTGAACCTGATATCGTGACGTGTCTCTTCACAGCCCTGTGGCCCTTGGTATTCAATTCAGTTTTATTTATATAGCGCCAAATCGCAACAACAGCTGTCCTCTGTACGGATAAAATCATTTTCATTATTGTTATTTAGCCAACAGCATGTAGCCAGTCAGCAGCATGGCTGTGCAGTTAGTCAGCTCTAAACAGGCACTAATGAAGGACTACAATCTCTAACGCCGCTTCTTTTCTAATGAACTTTGACCCAGATCAACATGACGTCACGGTCCTCCATTGGCCCATCGTAGGTTTTGGGTTTTACTGGCCCCCGGTCTACAGGCTGCAGCCAGACCCTTATAGTAAAGCGGCCTCGCGAGATCAGTCAAGAGAAGAGACAACAATGTGGATCAGAAACCCTGCACTCCAGACGCCTTTTGTTTTCCGTTCACGACCCTGACAAACTAGTTTTAGATGAACACATGAATCTCCAGGTCTCACTTCCTGTCCTTCCACCAGAACCTCAGAGTCCGGCTGCAGCAGATACCGAGCCACCGGCGGGACACCAGACAGTCAATAACCTTCTGCTGAATCACATGATGACATCACATCACAGCGTCCGGGTCCACAATCAGTACCGCAGTCATGCCTCCACTTCTATACAACTGTCCAGCCAGCCCTCGCGCTGTTTTGCGATGCGTGTTTATTCTAACCATTACAGTAACATCGTGTCGCAGCACATTTCAAATAAAAGTGATACACACACAACACATATTTAAGTGTAGGCCTATATGAAAATATGGTAATAGATTAATTAAAATAAATCATATATAGGCTACATAAATAGCCTACATACATACATCCATCTTGACCACGTTTGAGCACCAAGAGTAATCGATGTAAAAGTCTTGCACTGATAGCTTTAATTTGGCCTATGGGCTGCGTCTTGCCGTCCACTGCTGTATGTGAATCAAATGTGAGACCACATTTTGAACAAAAAGCGCAGGTTGGCTTCACATCGGCCCCTGTGAAAGGGCACTAAACTAGAGTTGTTAAAAGTTGAAACAGGAAGTTTCCTTTTTACGTCAATTTAAATCTCGGCAAATAGTGAAAATATTAGACATTTTCAAGGGCTGTAACTTGAAAAACCTACATCAGATAGCTCTGATATTGACAGAGGGCCTCCCTGAGGTGGTCTGCCGTCACTGTGAAGTGAAATGAGTCAGTGGAAACAGAAGGTTTTCTTTTTACATGAGTTTGAATCTTGGCTGAATGTAGTAAGCTTTCTGTGAGAATGTAATATTTTCTTTAGATACTTGTGGTGTCTTAAGCATTTAATTATTTATTCAATCGTTTCTGCCACATCAACTGCATTATGTTCAGTAGAAGTTCACTTTTATTTTGAAATGTGCTGCGACACGATGTTACTGTAATGGTTAGAATAAACACGCATCGGAAAACAGCGCGAGGCAGGCAGAAGGGGACGGCCCGTTCAGTACTGCGTGTTTTAACGTGTACTTTATATACTGCGTGTTTTAACGTGTACTTTATAGACTCCGTACATACTGTGTGTGTGTGTGCGCGTGATACCTGCGGCTGCTTTTCTTCCTCACACGGAGTCTGGAGTTCTTCTTCTTCGCTGTTATTCTGCAGCAGATGGATTTCTGCCCCCTGCAGGAAACAACAGAAAAGAAGAGTCGCCGATGATCAGTGTTTTCTTAATAAACCTTTTTATTGGCTGCTATTTGAGGTGTTTCCACAGTAATGACAGTGTCAGCATTAAAACACGGACCTTTGTTTAATAAGAATTCGCATCCAGAATAAAAAGATGTCACTACAATAACTCCTGACACGTGACATTAACCAGAGCAGAGTTAACGTGTTATAGAAGAACATTTCCACGCTTCAGAGCAACAAGCAGCTTTGTTGTTCAACACTTTGATTTAAAGACAGGATATCCAGGTTTTCACTTCCCAGCCGCCTACAGCCGCTTATCAGGAAGGACTGCAGTTCCCAGCAGGCCGTTCGGCTCCACGCGTGTCGGGCAGCAGCAGCAGCAGCAGCAACATGTCTGTGTTTATGGATCTAAACCTGCGCTACACGGCAGATAAGAGCCGCCTGCAGAGTCTGGTTCAGACGGCGGCGCACCGTGAGTCTCTCGGTCCAATTCTAAAAACGTGGCTTTAGCAGCGGAGGTTCGGCTGCTGCGGAGCCGCGACGCTAACTCAGCTAGCATCGGGACTTAGCTCGGAGCTTGAAGGATGTGGTGATCTGTTGTTCACTTAATTCTTTAAGCAGCTGATTAAACAGAATGAATAACAGCTGGTTAATTACCATGTAGCAGATTTATTAATGTGTACTTTAGTTATGAGGGTCCAAATGGTCTGAGAGGCGGAGACAACGAACCCGCACACCAGACTCAGTTCAAAAGTCTCTGTATTTAAAGTTTCCTTGTTTTTTGGTATAAATAGAATTAAAATTAAAAACATAATTCAAAGAAATAAGAGCCAGTGGGAGACACTGACGAAACAACAAACAGCAGTTTAATGACATAAAGCTGAAATGTATTTGAGAATATTAAAACATGGAAATAGTTAAATAAGGAATGAGTGTGTTGGTGCAGCTCAAAGTGAAATGACCCGCGGTGATCAGTGGTTGTGACCTGTAGTTTCCTGTGTCCTCCTCCTGCAGTCGGCTTCTCCACAGTCGCCATCAACTACGTGTTCGACCCAACAGCCAAAGAGAAACAGGTGAGTGTGCGCACCTGCTGCGCTGCGTTCAGGAACACGCCGGAAAACAGTTCAGACACAAATGGCAGAAACCACAACGCCTCAGAGCTGCAGCCGGTATCTGACGCTGAGGATGAGAGCGATTGAAGGACACTGATCCGGATAAATGTTACCGAATAAACCTAAATTGGATTAAAAATTATTTCCCTCCCCTCCTCCACCCCAGCGGGAAAACAACTTGCAGCTGGCCTTCCTATCTTCTGCGCACTGGTTTATCTCTCCTCAAGGACAAGGCCAATGAACTGAACTTTTGTTAACAACATAGTCAGTCTGAAGCCTCATACTTCACAAACACTGACTCATTATCTTACTCACACCATACACCCTCCCCCCACCCCCTCGAAATGACTGAAACTGCCCTCTTTATTTCTCTTCCTCACGTCACCTCAAAAATCCCACCATGTGACCGCATGTAATGTGTGTTGTCTTGTGTATTATTATGTATTGTATGTTGTTAAGTCATGGATACTATGTTGCTGTCTGCATTAATTCTTTTCTGGAAAGCGAGTGGCGGCGCTGAATATAGCTGCGGCCCGGAGGCTTGCTCCAATAGAAACAAATTTCACTGTGTACTTGTGCATGTGTGACAATAAAGCTACATATGAACCTATGATAATCGATGCTTTTATTGTGTAACTCTGTTGACTTCCTGTCTGCAGGAGGTTCCCGCCCCGACGCCGATCAACGAGCTGATCCATCAGCTTCCTGTCGTACAGGTAGATGAGGGAGGGGGGGAGGGGCTGTTAGTCTTGTTGTTGTGTTAACATCTGTCTGTCCTGACAGGGTCGCTCCCGACCAATCAGAGTGCTCAACAGGCTGACCGTTGTGATGTCAGACCCCAGTCACTTTGTAAGTCTCAGTTTATTGATGTCCAATCAGATTATTCTCTCCATAAACACGCACAGAGAGACGCACAGAGAGAGAGACACAGAGAGACACAGTATCACAGAGAGAGAGACACACAGAGAGACACAGCAAAACAGAGAGAGACACACAATAACGCAGAGAGAGAGACACAGAGAGACACAGTAACACAGAGAGAGACACAGTAACACAGAGAGAGACACACAATAACGCAGAGAGAGAGACACAGAGAGACACAGTATCACAGAGAGAGAGACACACAGAGAGACACAGCAAAACAGAGAGAGACACACAATAACGCAGAGAGAGAGACACAGAGAGACACAGTAACACAGAGAGAGAGACACACAATAACACAGAGAGAGACACACAATAACGCAGAGAGAGAGACACAGAGAGAGACAGTAACACAGAGAGAGAGACACACAATAACGCAGAGAGAGAGACACAGAGAGACACAGTAACACAGAGAGAGACACAGTAACACAGAGAGAGAGACACACAGAGACAGTAACACAGAGAGAGAGACACAATAACGCAGAGAGAGAGACACAGAGAGACACAGTAACACAGAGAGAGAGACACACAGTAACACAGAGAGAGACACAGTAACACAGAGAGAGAGACACAGAGAGACAGTAACACAGAGAGAGACACACAGTAACACAGAGAGAGAGACACAGAGAGACACAGTAACACAGAGAGAGACACAGAGAGACACAGTAACACAGAGAGAGACACACAATAACACAGAGAGAGACAGAGAGAGACACTAACACAGAGAGAGACACAGAGAGACACAGTAACACAGAGAGAGAGACACACAATAACACAGAGAGAGAGACACAGAGAGACAGTAACAGAGAGAGAGACACACAGAGAGACACAGCAACACAGAGAAACACAGAGAGACACAGTAACACAGAGAGACAGAGACACACACAGACACAGAGAGAGGAGAGAGAGACACAGAGACACAAAGAGAGACACAGAGACAGAGAGAGACATAGTAACACACAGGAGAGAGACACAGACACAGAGAGACACAGTAACACAGAGAGACAGTAACAGAGAGAGACAGACACACAGAGAGAGACACAGTAACACAAGGGTGTGTAACATACAAAGTACACGTGAACAGACATGTTAAAATACATTTTCTGCTGACTGACTGTGTGTCTGTGTCCCCTGTCTCTCTCTGCGTATCTCTGTCTCTCTGTCTCTGTCTCTCTGTCTCTGTGTGTCTCTCTCTCTGTCTCTCTGCGTGTCTCTCTGTGTGTGTCTGTCTCTCTGCGTGTCTCTGTCTCTCTGTGTGTCCCCTGTCTCTCTCTCTCTGTCTCTCTGCGTATCTCTGTCTCTGTCTCTCTGCGTGTCTCTGTGTGTCTGTCTCTCTGCATGTCTCTGTCTCTCTGTGTGTCTCTGTCTCTCTCTGTCTTTCTGCGTGTGCGTTCAGAGGAACACTCCGGAGCTTCAGGCCTTCGACCTCCTCGCCGTCCAGCCGACCACAGAGAAACTCTTCCACGTGAGTTCACACCAAACATCACATTTACTCAAGTACAAGCTTCAGATACTGTTTCTTTACTTGAGTACTGCCACATTATACTACTTCATACTACATACATGTATCCAAGCTACACATTTTACACACTAAATAAACAATAATCCAGTATATTATAAATACACGTATGTGTACTTTTACTGATAATAAGTACATTTTAAATGCAGGACTTAAACAGAGTATTTGTTTTAGATACTTCTACTGAAGGACCTGAAAACGTCTTACAGTGTATTGTGTTTGTACTCTGTGTGTACTGTGCGTGCAGACTGCCTGTATGGTGTATGACGCTGACATCATCTGCGTCTCGGTGACGGAGAAGCTTCCCTTCTTCTTCAAGAGGGCGCCGGTTAACGGGGTGAGAGCCGTCATCCTACGAGTACGTACGACGTGTTCGAGTGCGTGACTGTGGTACATTAGCCTCTCCTGTGTGTGTGTGTGTTCAGGCGATAGACAGGGGCGTGGCGTTTGAGGTCTCGTACTCTGCGGCCATCAGAGACGCCACGATGCGGCGCTACACCATCGCTAACGCCGTGTCTCTGATGGAGACCTGTAAAGGGAAGGTTGGTCCTTTTTGTCCCAGCAGACTTCCTGTAGCTGTGGTGATGTTGGGGGCGGAGCCTGAAGTCTCTGTGTTTGTCTTTCAGAACGTGATCCTGTCCAGCGCAGCGGAACAGGTCTGTGATCAGTCCGCCCATCAGGTATCAGCAGCTCACCTGTAACCATCAATAACTGTCCCTGTGTCCCCCCCCCCAGCCTCTGGAGCTCAGAGGGCCCCACGACATCACCAACCTGTATCCTTTCCCAACACCTCGGGCCCCTCAAGGCCCCGTGGTCAAAGAGCAAGGACCCAGACTGACAACCACGCTGCTTTCCAACAGAAGCTCTGCTCCTGGATCTGAGGACTGTTCACTTAATCAGAGTCTGAGATTACTGAAAGAGTTTAGAGCGTGTGTCCCGTTGTTCTCCTGATCCGGGTCCTCAGAGGGTCGCTATTCGGTCTGTCAGACGGAGACGCTAAAGAAGCAGTTTCCTCCACCTGTCGATCTGTCGTACTACATGCAGGTAAATACTGAGTACTACCTGAAGTACTACAGCTGTGTATGACGTCTGCTGTCCGAGCAGCCTGAGGCCACGACGGGACCTGCTCAGGTGTAACCTGGTGATCGGGTCCGGTTGGGGAGTCGGGTGTCGGTTCAGTTACCTGGGTTCGGGGCACCACCTGTTTCGCTATGTTTTGTCGGCCCTGAACTCGCCCTGAACTCCCGACACCTGACTCGGTCACCCTGACCACAGACACACCTGAGCAGGTAAGTTCACACCTCTGTTTGTTGACAGAAACCAGGAAGACGGCCAGCGGCATCATTTCCACCATGAAGAACCGCAGGGATTGGTCCTGCCAGCTGGAGGCGGAGCCTGCATCTGAGCGCTGTAGGTTCCCGTGTTCTCGCTACACGCTGTCTTTAACGCTGTGACCAACACGTGCTGTCTCTCTGATTCCAGGTGTGCTTTCTTCTGCTTTACCTGAACAGGTGATGCTCCGACAGCCAAGAGAGCCAGACCTCACCTGGCTGTGATTGACAGCTGAGGAGGGCGGGGCTTCAGGAGTTCCTCTTTAATTTGATTTCACCTTCTGACTTTTGTTCCGACTGAAGAAGCTCAATAAAGTTTCAAACACAAAGTTCATCAGTCAAAGCTTTTATTTTGAAATCAGTCTGCGTACAAATGCTGCGCTCTGATTGGCCAGCACCAAAGCAGGAAATGATGTCATCAAAAATAGATTCTTAAGAAGTTTACATCCAGTCAGATTAATTAAAAACTGCTTCAAAATATAAAATCTGCCTCATAAAAATATAAAACTACAAACCGGAAGACGAATTTATTTCCCTTTTCATTCCTTTCATCATAAAAGCCCTTTAGAGTTTTTAGGGGAGGAAACATTCAGGAACCCGACAAGCGTGGCGAGCGCCGATGGAGCCATCTGCTGTTAAAGAGCGTAGGCCAGAAAGGAAATCACAATAAAAAACTTCACATTTATCAATAAATACAGGATCAACGTGGGATCCTTCAGTTTAAAGGCAGCGAACGTTAACGTGGTTTAAACTTTTCTTCCTGCTCCCAACAGACGGTAGATCCACAGATCCGAGGCAGAACGTCCACAACAAATACACTCAAATCTTTTTCAGTCCCTTTTCAACAAAATTCATTTCTTAGTAGAAAAATTAAGTGCTGATTCGTTCGTGATTCAAATGAATCAAACCTTTTATTAAAAACTTGTTACTGAAAAAATTAGATTGCGATAAATATCACTGTTATATTTCCCAGCCCAAGTGAACGCCTCACGAGGTCACAGCTGAGTCACTGATTAGTAGTTCTGTTATTAAACTGACTGCACCGCTGCCTTCAGGTGGGACGGGGTGTGAACCAATCAGACGGCAGGTAGGAAGTTGTGAGGGGCGGAGCTAACATTGACGCGGTGAACGGGTTGCTGGGAGATCAGTATATAGTGGCCGGTGATTTAAGCTTCAGCTGAAGAAGAAAGCTCAGACGTCGCGGGGTCCTTTAACGCACCAACGAAGTCCATGTTGAGGTCATGTGATGGCAACTAAACCATCTCCATGGCAACTGTACAAACAGCTGAGGAAGGCCGTGAGGCGCGGCTGAAAGGTCGGGAAGCACAAACGTTGGGAGTGAATCGAGACGCTGACGGATGTAATGATCGGACACGCAAGCACCTGATTGGACTTCATTGGATGGAAATGAGAAGCTGCCGGGGGCCCCTCCCCCCCGTCCTCCTCCTGTGGGGGTGCTGGATCACAGGCCCATGATGTGGTTGATGTGACCCTGCAGGAAGAACAGGAGGATGAGGTCAGGCTGGGTCAGGGTCTACATGACGCTCAACATTACTACAGCAGGTAGTTGCCGTGGTCACCCCCCCCCACTCACCGGCTCTCCTGCCAGACACCTGGGACAGCAGAGCAGAGCCGCTCTGGGTCGGACCGCAGCAACCTGCACCAACACACGTTAACAGGTTACCAAGGCAACAGCTTTACACCCACACACCTGAAACTCGGAGCGACTGTGTCGAGGTCTGAAAGGACCGGCGACGGGACCGACATCGGGACCGGGACCCTCACCTGTTGCTCTGGTTGATGATCGGACACAGGGACACTGTGGGATGTTTCCATTGGACACTCGTCCGACCGGAGCTCCGCCTCCAAACACAGACGCTTCTGAAAACAAACATCATCATCATCATAGTGACCAGAGGGCTGTCTCTCCTTCATCCCTGTCCCCCAACCACGCCTGTCCAACATGCCTGTCCACCAACCACGCCTGTCCCCCAACCACGCCTGTCCAACATGCCTGTCCCCCAACCACACCTGTCCCCAAACAAGCCTGTTCCCCAACCACACCTGTCCCCGACCACGCCTGTCCAACATGCCTGTCCCCCAACCACACCTGTCCCCAAACAAGCCTGTTCCCCAACCACACCTGTCCCCGACCACGCCTGTCCAACATGCCTGTCCCCCAACCACACCTGTCCCCAAACACGCCTGTCCCCCAACCACGCCTGTCCAACATGCCTGTCCCCCAACCACGCCTGTCCCCCAACCACGCCTGTCCAACATGCCTGTCCCCCAACCACGCCTGTCCCCCAACCACGCCTGTCCAACATGCCTGTCCCCCAACCACGCCTGTCCCCGACCACGCCTGTCCCCCAACCACGCCTGTCCAACATGCCTGTCCCCCAACCACGCCTGTCCCCGACCACGCCTGTCCCCCAACCACGCCTGTCCAACATGCCTGTCCCCCAACCACGCCTGTCCCCCGACCACGCCTGTCCAACATGCCTGTCCCCCAACCACGCCTGTCCCCGACCACGCCTGTCCCCCAACCACGCCTGTCCAACATGCCTGTCCCCCAACCACGCCTGTCCCCCGACCACGCCTGTCCAACATGCCTGTCCCCCAACCACGCCTGTCCCCCAACCACGCCTGTCCCCGACCAAGCCTGTCCCCGACCAAGCCTGTCCCCGACCAAGCCTGTCCCCCGACCACGCCTGTCCCCAAACACGCCTGTCCAACACGCCTGTCCCCCACCACATTAACGGCCACCCAGCTGGTTCTGTTTGTGCGCTGCAGGGAGGATCAATGAAACGCATGTTTTATTATTCGTTATTTATTTACTTTTATTGTTGGGCTTTTATCTGTGATAAGATTATCTTTTATGGTGACACTCGGATCAAAGGTGGAAAGTACACCTGCCACCGCCAGAAGAAAAACAACATTACTGCTATTAAATTTACTGAAGACAGTAAATTTTTTTGCTCATTAATGATTGAGCTTAAATCTGCTCGCTGTCTCCAGGAAGTCTGGCGTCCTGACAGCAGCCCATAGAAACTACACGGCTGTTCTGTCCAACCTGAACTGATTTTGTGGCCCTAACCCCAGTGGGAAGCTTTATTTATTCATTAGCAGTCTATACTGTATACTGAACTTACGATGAACACACTAAAATGAATCGCACCTTAACCACAGAGGTGAAATGTACGAACACGGCTGTATTTGTGAAAACGGTTAAATTGTTGGATCTCAACGAATAAACAGTTTAAATATCTGCACATGAAGTGTTTAAACCTTCACATTATACTCTGTTTAATGTTCTGACATTTCCACTGGGTTCTCCTTCAGGTGGAGGGGTAGTACCTAATCCACCGGGTTTCAGGTGCTGTAATAAACAGCTGATCAGAGTGAAGGACCCCCGTCACCTTCATCACCCTCATCACCTCCATCACACTCACTCACACTCATCACCTTCATCACCCTCATCACCTCCATCACACTCACTCACACTCATCATCTTCATCACACTCATCACCTTCATCACACTCACTCACCTTCATCACCCTCATCACCTTCATCACACTCACTCACCTTCATCACACTCATCACCTTCATCACACTCACTCACCTTCATCACCCTCATCACCTTCATCACCCTCATCACCTCCATCACACTCACTCACACTCATCATCTTCATCACACTCATCACCTTCATCACACTCACTCACCTTCATCACCCTCATCACACTCACTCACCTTCATCACACTCACTCACACTCATTACCTTCATCACCTTCATCACACTCACTCACCCTCATCACCCTCATCACCTTCATCACACTCACTCACCTTCATCACCCTCATCACCTTCATCACACTCACTCACACTCATCATCTTCATCACACTCATCACCTTCATCACACTCACTCACACTCATCACCTTCATCACACTCATCACCTTCATCACACTCATCACCCTCATCACACTCACTCACACTCATTACCTTCATCACCTTCATCACACTCATCACACTCACTCACACTCATCACCTTCATCACACTCACTCACCTTCATCACCCTCATCACCTTCATCACACTCACTCACACTCATCATCTTCATCACACTCATCACCTTCATCACACTCACTCACACTCATTACCTTCATCACACTCACTCACCTTCATCACCCTCATCACCTCCATCACACTCACTCACACTCATCTTCATCACACTCATCACCTTCATCACTCTCATCACCTCCATCACACTCACTCCACTCATCATCTTCATCACACTCATCACCTTCATCACACTCACTCACCTTCATCACCCTCATCACCTTCATCACACTCACTCACCTTCATCACACTCATCACCTTCATCACACTCACTCACCTTCATCACCCTCATCACCTCCATCACACTCACTCACACTCATCATCTTCATCACACTCATCACCTTCATCACACTCACTCACCTTCATCACCCTCATCACCTTCATCACACTCACTCACCTTCATCACACTCACTCACCTTCATCACCCTCATCACCTTCATCACCTTCATCACACTCACTCACACTCATCATCTTCATCACACTCATCACCTTCATCACACTCACTCACCTTCATCACCTCCATCACACTCACTCACCTTCATCACCCTCATCACCTCCATCACACTCACTCACACTCATCATCTTCATCACACTCATCACCTTCATCACTCTCATCACCTCCATCACACTCACTCACACTCATCATCTTCATCACACTCATCACCTTCATCACACTCACTCACCTTCATCACCCTCATCACCTTCATCACACTCACTCACCTTCATCACACTCATCACCTTCATCACACTCACTCACCTTCATCACCCTCATCACCTCCATCACACTCACTCACACTCATCATCTTCATCACACTCATCACCTTCATCACACTCATCACCTTCATCACCCTCATCACCTTCATCACACTCACTCACACTCATCATCTTCATCACACTCATCACCTTCATCACACTCACTCACCTTCATCACCTCCATCACACTCATCACCTTCATCACACTCATCACCCTCATCACACTCACTCACACTCATTACCTTCATCACCTTCATCACACTCATCACACTCACTCACACTCATCACCTTCATCACACTCACTCACCTTCATCACCCTCATCACCTTCATCACACTCACTCACACTCATCATCTTCATCACACTCATCACCTTCATCACACTCACTCACCTTCATCACCTCCATCACACTCACTCACCTTCATCACCCTCATCACCTCCATCACACTCACTCACACTCATCATCTTCATCACACTCATCACCTTCATCACTCTCATCACCTCCATCACACTCACTCACACTCATCATCTTCATCACACTCATCACCTTCATCACACTCACTCACCTTCATCACCCTCATCACCTTCATCACACTCACTCACCTTCATCACACTCATCACCTTCATCACACTCACTCACCTTCATCACCCTCATCACCTCCATCACACTCACTCACACTCATCATCTTCATCACACTCATCACCTTCATCACACTCACTCACCTTCATCACCCTCATCACCTTCATCACACTCACTCACCTTCATCACACTCACTCACCTTCATCACCCTCATCACCTTCATCACCTTCATCACACTCACTCACACTCATCATCTTCATCACACTCATCACCTTCATCACACTCACTCACCTTCATCACCTCCATCACACTCACTCACCTTCATCACCCTCATCACCTCCATCACACTCACTCACACTCATCATCTTCATCACACTCATCACCTTCATCACTCTCATCACCTCCATCACACTCACTCACACTCATCATCTTCATCACACTCATCACCTTCATCACACTCACTCACCTTCATCACCCTCATCACCTTCATCACACTCACTCACCTTCATCACACTCATCACCTTCATCACACTCACTCACCTTCATCACCCTCATCACCTCCATCACACTCACTCACACTCATCATCTTCATCACACTCATCACCTTCATCACACTCATCACCTTCATCACCCTCATCACCTTCATCACACTCACTCACACTCATCATCTTCATCACACTCATCACCTTCATCACACTCACTCACCTTCATCACCTCCATCACACTCATCACCTTCATCACACTCATCACCCTCATCACACTCACTCACACTCATTACCTTCATCACCTTCATCACACTCATCACACTCACTCACACTCATCACCTTCATCACACTCACTCACCTTCATCACCCTCATCACCTTCATCACACTCACTCACACTCATCATCTTCATCACACTCATCACCTTCATCACACTCACTCACCTTCATCACCTCCATCACACTCACTCACCTTCATCACCCTCATCACCTCCATCACACTCACTCACACTCATCATCTTCATCACACTCATCACCTTCATCACCCTCATCACCTCCATCACACTCACTCACACTCATCATCTTCATCACACTCATCACCTTCATCACACTCACTCACCTTCATCACCCTCATCACCTTCATCACACTCACTCACCTTCATCACACTCATCACCTTCATCACACTCACTCACCTTCATCACCCTCATCACCTTCATCACACTCACTCACACTCATCATCTTCATCACACTCATCACCTTCATCACACTCACTCACCTTCATCACCCTCATCACCTTCATCACACTCACTCACCTTCATCACACTCACTCACCTTCATCACCCTCATCACCTTCATCACCTTCATCACACTCACTCACACTCATCATCTTCATCACACTCATCACCTTCATCACACTCACTCACCTTCATCACCTCCATCACACTCACTCACCTTCATCACCCTCATCACCTCCATCACACTCACTCACACTCATCATCTTCATCACACTCATCACCTTCATCACCCTCATCACCTCCATCACACTCACTCACACTCATCATCTTCATCACACTCATCACCTTCATCACACTCACTCACCTTCATCACCCTCATCACCTTCATCACACTCACTCACCTTCATCACACTCATCACCTTCATCACACTCACTCACCTTCATCACCCTCATCACCTTCATCACACTCACTCACACTCATCACCTTCATCACACTCATCACCTTCATCACACTCACTCACCTTCATCACCCTCATCACCTTCATCACACTCACTCACCTTCATCACACTCACTCACCTTCATCACCCTCATCACCTTCATCACACTCACTCACACTCATCACCTTCATCACACTCATTCACACACGCGCGCGCTCACCGGTATGCAGCTCCACGGCTCCACTTCCGTTTCCAAACTTCTCTTCTTCAGCAGGTTAGCGCACTGCATGCTAACAGCTAACGGAGCTGACGGCTCCTGGGACCGGGACCACTTGAGTCCAGTTAGCCTGGAAGCTAACCGCCGGCAGACCTAGCCTGTTAGCCCGTTAGCCCGTTAGCCTGTTAGCATTAGCGGAGAGGAGTTAAACTGTTCAAACTGAGACCGGAAGTTGTCTGTTTCCCGCTCACGGTGAATTAATCCACGAGTTTGAGCGTTAACCGGCGACTTTCTGTTAACTGCTGCCCGCTAACTGTTGTTGTTGTTGTTGTTGTTGACCGACCTTCTGTTGACCGGCAACTTCAGGTTTACAGCAACTACATCAACACTTCCGGTTTCACACAGCCCGGGCCCTTCACATTAAAAGCACCATCGTTTCTGCTTTGATTTCACATTATAACATTTATTTTATTTATCAGTTTATTGATTTATACAGTATGGTCCACATTTAGTTCTTTACATAACGCTTTTCATTTAACATTTACAACTAAAACAATTTTATTTATTTATTTTATTTTACCAGGAAGTCTCATTGAGATCAAAAATCTCTATTACAAGAGAGACCTGGCCAAGGTAGCGGCTTTTTATATACAGTCTGTGGGTAGCAGCCATACATAAACACAACATATGAAAATGCTACATACATACATGTATAACCTAAAGAAAGTTTGTAGTTCCTTCATGCTACACACAGAACTTACAACATACAGTTAAATGTATATTAAAATATGGTAACATATAAATATACAGTTACAGAACATTCTGCAGTGCATTCTCTGAATGTAAACAGAATAAATGAATGTAAGATGATAATATAGTTTCATCTGACATTTGGGACCGTGTTTGAGCACCAAGCATCATCAATGGAAGACATTACAGGTAAAACAGAGACAGGTTAGTGAGTTTCGTCAGCAGGTGTTTATATCCAGACAAATTTACCTAAAATGACTGCTTCATTTTAACCAAATTAATGCATTTTCTAAATTATATAATAATTAATAGAATTATTAATAATATCCAGTTATAAAGTGCTTCACACAAAGCAGCAATTCAAATAAAGAACTAATAAAATCAAGAATTTAATTAGAAATAAGTTTGTTTTCATTTTGAAGGCCCTTTCCTTGAACCGGAAGTCTTATTTATGCACACTTGACACCCCCATTTCACGGTTTCACACATTTCAAATAGTGTGACGTCATAGCGGATCAATCCAATCAGAGCGAGCACATACTCTCACGAGATTTGGATGTATGTCACAGATAAAAATAGAACTCGTGATTTAACTGGAACAGAGCAGGCTGTTAATCACATTTTAAATTACTGCTAATACTTTGAACATCAAATGTTTTAATGCTGGACTTTTACTTGTAACAGAGTATTTTCTGTTTATTAGTACTTTTACTGAAGGAAAAGATCTGAGAACATCTTCCACCGATGAGAAGTACAAAGTAGCAGAAAAGTACAATAGTGGAGTAAAAGTACTCATTTACTTTCCGTCAGTGTCAGACTCACAGTAACTCCTGCAGGGAGCAGACAAGGTGAGGACGCTGACGCTGCAGCCTCTGCAGGTGACCAGCAGGCGGCAGCACAGTGTCGCTGATAAAACTGACTCTACTGTGTTTCTACTGGACATTTCACTGTTCACCACCGTGTGACTGAGGACAAAGATTATAATGTTTCATCTGTGTTGGTTTTTAACACTCCTGCTGAGAATAAACCATAATATAACAGGAACACAGAGGCACAAGACCGGACAGGAGAGGGAAGGAGTTAGTAACATGCATTAATGGGATGAGGCTGCATACAGAGGGAGAGGAGCATCATGGGAACTCCCCCGGCAGTCTAGGCCTATAGCAGCATAACTAAGGGATGGTTCAGGACTCACCTGAGCCAGCCCTAACTATAAGCTTTATCAAAGAGGAAAGTCTTAAGCCTATTCTTAAATGTGGAGATGGTGTCTGCCTCCTGAACCCAAACTGGAACCTGGTTCCACAGGAGAGGAGCTTGATAGCTGAACGCTCTGGCTCCTAGTCTACTTTTGGAGACTCTAGGAACCACAAGTAACCCTGCATTCTGGGAGCGCAGTGCTCTGGTGGGGTAGTAAGGTACTATGAGCTCTTCTAGGCTGGTAACAAATGCATGGACTAGTTTTTCTGCATCATTTTTAGACATTCCTGATTGTTGCAATATTACGTAGGTAAAAAAAGGCGGTCCTTGAAATTTGCTTAATGTCCTGTCACGATTGGTGTGGTTGAAAAGGTTGGTGGACCCAAATGGTGAAGTTCAAAGATTTAGTTAAACAAAAGCAAGCACACTTACAAGCAGAGCGGCTGAGGCCAGAGTCTCCAAAAATCCTAAACAATCCAAACAGGAAGTCCAACAGAAATCCAAACCCTCAAAATCCACAGGAAATAAGCAGGCAGAATACATCACACATCAAGAGACTGAGACAGAGCAGCAGCAGCAGCAGCAGCAGCAGCAGCAGCAGCAGCAGCAAGCTACGATGACCGGACAGAGACTGATATATTCAGGGTTAACGGGCTGGGAGGGAACAACACAGAATCAGAATCAGCTTTACTGCCAGGTCTGTGTACACATACGAGGAATTCTACTCTGGATTGTACATTGCTCACGATGTGCTTACTCATACCAAAAATATAAAATCACAGTAATAAAAATAAAATAAAGTCAGACACAGACTTCAGTGTAGACAACACAAATATACACACTACGAACAAAAACAATATACATGTCGGAGGTGGATGTGATATACAGGTACATATACATGCATACATGTACACAGTGCGATGAAGCATAGTGCAAAGGATGCTGGAATAAATAAGTATTTTGTGCAAGACTAATGACTTGAGGTATTTGGGTTTGGTATACAGTATCTACAATATGACAATATAACAGTATGAACAGCTCTGAAATGGAGAACGATGAATAAAGGGTGAGGCAATCAGAACACAGGCAGGCAGAGGATTACTTGGGGAACAGAGCCAACACAGGTGACTAAACACAGACCAAAATAAGCCGATCAGAATAATATAAATAACAAGCTAAACCAGAGCACAAATAAACTACAACCAACAGCGAAGAGAGACTGAAACTAGGATTAAACAGAACACAGAGCAGACGAGGCCAAAATAATTCAAACACAGAACCAGGAGTAAATACAAAGACAGTAACTAAGACCCAGAACTGAAATGCAGGACTAAAGCAAGATACGAGACAGAACAGGTATTAAGTGAGCTAAAATTTTTCCTTGCCTCTGTCTCCTAGTGCTGCTCTTGGTGGGAACTGTTGGGCTTCTGTAAATATCATCACAGAGTACGGTCTAGACCTGCTCTTTATGAAAAGCGCTGTGAGATAACTGTTGTTGTGATTTGGCGCTATATAAATAAAATTGAATTGAAAATTGAATTGAATAAATTGAATATGCAAATGAACCATGGAATAAACGATGCTAAACAGAGGAAACACAAGACCAGGAACAAAACCCAAAAACAGAAAACATGGACCGAACTAATAACACAGAGTGGACAAAGTAGACAAGATACGAGAACAACAAGACACAACAGACAGGATCGGACCAAAATGCAAAAACACACGGAGTAAACTGAACACAACAGACCTGCATCAAACTGGTCTGCATGGCTGTCGACCCAGAAGGAAGTCTCGTCTAAAGATGATGCACAAGTTTGCGCAGTTTGCTGAAGACAAACAGACTAGTGTTGTAGTCAAGACCAAGACTTTTAGGGGCTGAGACTGAGTCAAGACCAAGACCAGTTCCCCACTAGGGATGAAACGATTATAGTGTCTAAAATTATCATGGTTATCAGTATTATCACGGTATTGTAAACATGTGCCAAAAAAGATTAAAATGTACTGAGACACAAGTTTTACATTGAAAACTACAAATACAATTGCCATTTTGTTTGCATAAAAAATAAAATAACAGCAAATACCTTTTGTAAACATATGAAAATCATCAGTGTGCACTATCAGGATTTTATATTATATAAATGACCCCGTGGACAATTAATGAAAACAAATCAGTCTTTAGAAACAGTGATAGTAACTGCAATGAGCCTGTAGCATTACTAGAGATGCTGGTTGGTTGACTAAACAGCGTAACCGTGTTCTCACGTGCAGCGGACGAACACACTCTGCCGACACACGACGCACACAGCAGCAGAACAACGCGTAGCGTTTTTACAAGAGCAGCAACACTGAGAGCTTCAGTTTACACGCTGTGAGCAGGTCAGAGACACAAACCAAAGCTAAAAGTTAGCTCACCCTGCGTTCTCTATGAGGTCATTTTCTTCAGTCAAGTTTCCCTAAAAACTAAAATACGACCGGATTTCAGAGAGACTGAAAAATCTCCACCGTGTTGTGATTGACCCAAACTGTCTATGCGCGCCTGCTTCTGTGAGACGCTGGACAGTGTTTGCTGTGAGATTATAATAGCGTGGTTAACCATACCGGTTACCATGGTAATTAAAATGTGTACGGTAATAATAACCGTCGGGAATTTTACCGTTAACCGGTAATCGTTTCATCCCTATTCCCCACATTACATGACACAATAAAATGTGGAACGAGGTCACAGGTACGTCTCACACTGATCTGAAAGATCCACGTTCCCATTAAAACTCCCACATACAGACACTAAGAGCTGAAATCAGCAGAAGCATCTTTATTCAACTGTTCTATGCTGACCATCGCGGTTAGGAGTGACAGTCGTTAACGGGAACAACACATTTTTAATTGGGGTTATTCGGTTGCATTTGAAGCAATACGTTTTACATCCAGTCAAAGTTAGGATGTTAACAAATAAACCAGACGATGCAAAAGCAATTTATTGATATTCCCAAAGTTACGGTCTTGAAATAAAATCCCCAGTCCAAAATGTCCGAGACCGAGACAAGACCGAGTGCAAATACGGTCGAGTCCGAGACGAGACCAAGACCATCAAAAAGTGGTCTTAAGACCGGTCTCGAGACCAAGTTTCGATAAGGGGTAAACCGGGGTGTAAGTAACATGGCACGAAAGTAACAAGGCGATTTTCTCAGAGCCCTGACTGCATTTGCAGTCCAAGCTGTGACAGCACCTTCAGCACGCAACCCTTGATGGAGCTGCCAAATATCGTTATCGTTTCCCGCGGCCGTCTTCGTAAAACTGTTTTCGAGCACGGCAAGTAAATTTCTGAAGCAAGACTTTTTTTCGAATTACAAGTTGTCTCTCTCGTTTCATGTGTCACAGTAAAGTGCAATTTATACTTCTGCGTCAAATCGACGGCGTAGGCTACGGGGCTACGCAGTGGCTA